TTGTCCCACCCAGTCCTCTCTTTACTGTCCTTCAAACACACCTCACCCATTTCTGTACCCGCTCCTGTCCTTAAGCTATTTTTCCCATCTAGGACGCTTTTACCTTTCTGCACAGTCAGCTCAAGGTCATGAACCCTCCCAGCCCCTTCCGGCTCACAGAGATCCCTTTCCTAAAATCCTCAAACTCTCCTAGTTGGATTCTGTCTTCAGTACTTAATGACAAACTGCCTTGTATGGTGACTTAATTGTTTAAATATAATTTGTCTTCAGAATGGAGAACCATTTAGCTGGCAGGGACCAGCCTGAAAGTTCCCAGTGGCCAAGCACCATTCTCTGGTCAGAGCAGGCCTGTAGAGTTTTTTAAATGAATGTTGAAATGAAGCACAGATCTTCTACAACTGAGCTGAACAGGGAGGCTTATCCTCTGGACCCTGAGTAAAAACCAATTCACAACATCTGAATTCACATTTTTAAGTGATTGGGTATGGAATTAGTCCTATTTCTGAATCCCCAGTGGTAGGCAGAGATAAAGTTGAGCTCTATTGTATCAGCCCCTTGAAAATTCCCCTGCCCAACTCCTCCCGAAGAGATGGATGTAAATAGGGCACCAAAAACCAGATGTTCGTTACAGACAAACCCTCCCCGGCCGGCACAGGCCGGCCTCAGAGGTAAAGACTCTCCTGGCTGCCTGATAGCACCAGATCTCTGGCCCTGCAAACAGAGAAGGGTTTCCTCCCTTGTGCAAGCCAGTTGGTATGGGCCAAGCCTTTCGTCACGATGTTGCAATGGGACTGGCTGTTCATTTAGGATGGTTGAATGGTGCTGCATCAGCCCACCACCACCTGTAAACCCCCCTGGAGCCAGCTGAGCAAGATGGGACAAAGTTAGGTGACCCTGGCGCAGCCCCAGGCAACGGGCACTGGAGGAGGTCTGTTGCCGTTGCCCTGAGGGCAGATGGGATCTTTCCAAACTAGCTATGCCTTATGCTTCTAAACGGGTCACGTGCCAGAGGCCAGTTGGTTGGCTATATGACTCAGATACACTTTTGCCTAGCCCATGGGGTGTATTTTTCAACATTGAATTAGCTTGCAAATTGGGAGACTTCACACAGAAATCCGAATTTCTGGCTTCTCCTGACAACGAACAGAACACCCGGCCATGCTGGGCCCTCCCTCTGACCTGGACAGCTCCTTCACGTGGGTTACTCACTGCCCAGCAGGCTGAGGCCGTCTCACTTTTTGCCCTCACCAAGTTCCTGCTTGTTTCCCCTGATCTGAAGTGTCACAGAGTGCAAATCTGGGTGGGAGGTAGGATCAGACAGCTAATTTCTGGCAACCCCAAGCTCCGTGATGCCCCTGAATGTGGAGGAGGTGGCGCAGGGCTCTGGGAGACCATAATGCAGTCAAGACAAAGCATTTGTCATCAACACTGATCTCTGAAATTCCCGTCACATCCTGGGGCGGGGGCATTTGGAATCCACAGCATGGCAAGTGGATGCCATTCACTGAGTACTTACTGTCAGCCAATCTCTTCAGTCCTTACAGCAACTCTGTAAAGCAGACACTCAGTCCCACTTCTGGGATGAAGGTACTGAGGCTAGTGCCACACAGCTGGCGGCGGAACTGGCTGCCTTTCCTCAGAGCCCTCTTCTTAACCAAGGGTTTTCCGCTCTCCCTGTGCATTGTTAGCCCTCTTTAGGGCCAGTCTTTAGTTCAAAACACGTTGCCATTGTGGACTCAATAATAGTTTTTAAAAGCACATAAATTGTTTAAACGATGTATCACATTTGTGATGATTTTCTCAAGCAAAAGTGTAAAATGATTTGATATCTGTAATGCAAGATGGGAGTGGGTGGAGGAGGTGTGTGTGTGGGGGGCAGTCTTTGCTTGCCTGGGGCGCTGGGGCGTGAGCTCTGTGGCCCGGAGTGAGGGCTGCTGGGCAGGCAGCTAAGGTGCCCGGAGGAGCAGTTTGTGGACCGAGACTCGGGCTTCTGTAAATTCGTGGCAGCTTGGAAAGAAATGGAAATTATCACAGGTGCGCTTGAAGGACATGCAAACTTACTTTTTAGTGGTCTTTAATGATAATTTCTCTTCGAGTTTTTCCGACACCGAGGAGCTCAGTGTGTTCAGCTAGTTCTAAACTTCCTCTGCTGATAACCCCCGCCTGTCCCCAACCCCGCCCCACCTCATCCAAGTCTAGCCTGAACTTTCAGGCACCTGGAAAACACCTGCCATAAGGTCAGTTGGGAATTTAAGAGGTCATGGATATCGGGAATAAAGGTGTATAAAAGGAGGAGGAGGAATCGGTTTTGGCGTTAAGACACCGGAACTTCCAAGGTTTTTTGCAAGACGCTTGCAGCCTTTGCAAACAGCCTTCAAGTCATCAGCGCCCCGCTGCGGAATTCAAAGCTAAGCTCGTCATAATTGTTAACACCTTCTCTGACCAGTCTTTTAATATCATCATCATCATCATTTTGCCGGCGGGAAGAGTCTGCGGTCTTGGTTTCAGGGAGTACTATATACAGGGAACAGCCTCCTCGCGTACATAAGTCAGGGAAGATTTCCACCGGCTTGCAGGGTGAGTAGATTTCCACGCTTAGAAAGCGGGGCGCGGGGCAGGGGAGACGGGGAGGATCGATTTTGGAAGGCCCCAGGGGTTGTGTTGGAAGTTAGCGACGCTTCAGGTTCTAGGTTGAGCACAACGACCGCTTTGCTCTGGGCAGCAGGCTGGACCCGAGGCGATCGCGGAGGAGCTCGGCCTCTGGCGCGGCCGGGGGACCCCAGTTCTCCAGGGCGCAGAGGCTGCGAGTCTCTGCAAAGCGGAGGAGCCGCGTCCACGCGGGAGCCGGCATCCTGCGGGGCGCCGGCCGCGTGCAGGTCCCTCCGCCCGAGCCAGGAAGGGGGTGCACGCTCGCGGCCCGGGGGGAGCCCTCCCACTCGTCCCAACTTTGCCGGCCCCGGGGCCGGAGGAGGGCGCCTCTCCCGGCGGCGATGCGCTCGGTACTTAAAGGCGTCTCGGCTGGGCCGGCGCTCGTCAGTCGGAGCGCGCGGCGGCGGTGGTGAGGAGCGGGAGGAGGGGCATGGAGCAGCCGCGGGCCCGCTGAGCACGGGAGCCGGTGGCCGGCGGCACGGTGAGCGAGGGCCGGGCCGCGGGGGCTGCGCAGAGAACGCGGGAGCGCCCGGCCGCGGGGCTGCCCGCGGAGTCCGGCGGCTCCCGCGGATGTGCGGGCGCCGAGTCCAGCGCCGGGAGGCGGGCCGAGGGCTGCGGCATCTCCAGGCTCCCTGGCGGCGGGTCCTGCAGCCCCCTCCCCACTGACCCTCCTCCCTTTCTTCCTCCATCCTCTGCTCCACTCTCCTCCCTTCCTCCCTCGCGGCTCCTGGTTTGTGAATGGATTGGGAGGCGGACGACCGTGCAGGGCGCGAGGCGGGCTGAAGTCTCTCCCTCCCCCAGGGCCGCCCGCGGGTCCGCACCTGTCCTGGCACCGAGACGCTCGGTGCCCGCGTTGCTGCGGGTCAGCCGGGCAGAGGCCGCAGGTACCCGCGGGCCTGGGCGTGTTTTCTTTTGCCGGCTCGGAGGGGCCGGTAGGAAAGAGCCCCCGCCCCGCGCACAAGTTTCCTCCCCGCCGCGTGTGGGCCCCGAAGCAGGGCACACCTGTCAGCTGGAGAAGCTGCAGATTGGGCAGCCCTGCAAAGTTTCGGGGTCGATCGGCTGTGTGCGTCCCCGGTTGGAGGTTTTCTCCTTCCGTTTGGCTCGTGGGTGGTGTGGGGAGGCGGGGGTCGGTCTTAGGGGTTGCCCCTGATCCGGTGCCTGTGAAGCCGGGTGCGCATTAGCCCGCCAGGGCCGAGCTCGAGTGAACCCCTGCTGAGCGAAGGGGGAAAGTGTGCGGGGACCGCCTCGGTCTAGCCTCCCCTCCGCCGGCCCGGGGTGACACGGCGCCCTGTCTGGGCAGGGGCACCTCGGCCAGAGCCCACACCAGCGCCTGGCTGTTCGCGAGGTCATCGGCTATAGAATCTCTTCGGCCTTCAGAGGGGTCGGGGGCGCAGGGTAGTGCCTCCAATTCCTGCTCCGGGTGTGGGAGTCCCGCCCGGGGAAAGGTGGGGGCCGGCGACACCGGGGATGTCGCCTTTGTCTGCAGGCAGACTTTGTCAAGGTAGCTCGGGCCCCGGGGGGATGAGTGGGGCCTGGTCCGACTGATTCCTTGGGTTTTCCTGTTCTCTCCCGTGGGTCGTGGGAACCCCGCACGTGGGTGTGGCCGGCGCCTCCTTCACCAGAAGGGGAGACCCAAAAGCGGGGGGCGGGGAGTGAGAAGCGTGGCGAGTGCCTTCCCGGCTGCATTTCCCTGGTGGGCACTGCCTCCGGCACTGCCCCGAGGCCACCGCCAGCGCCCGGCACGTTGCTGCACTGGCCTCGGACCCTCTGCCGTTTCCCAGATTGCAGGTGGACAGTGGAGCGGGTAGCGCCTCCTCGGCATGTGAGCTCTGGATGGGGACACGAGGGGGCAGCACGCCCCGGGCCCTGGGTACCCGGTCTGGGGGCCCCTGGGCCGCAGGCGGGTGCCGGGAGGAGGTGGGGTGGGAACCGGGGAGGGCTGGGAGCCCTGCAGAGGAAGCCTCTCGGGGATGGTGGGGCAGAGCTACCGCCCGGAGGCCGCGCTTCCCGGAGAGGCGAGGCTGCCAACAGCACTTTCCGGACTGAAGCTGCTGGAATGGGGCTGGTGCCTGAATCTCATTTGATACAGGCAGTGACTGCGTGCTCCCCTGGCAAGAAGGTGTGCTTGTGCTGGGGCGGGGCTCAGGGGGCGGTTTCAGTGAGACCCAGAGTTGGAGCAAGCCGCCAAGTGAGACCTCATTGTCTGCAGAGGGTGGTGGAGCTGGTAACGGGATTCTCCAGATCAGGTACCCCTCCCACCCACCCACCCCCACCCCCCACAGTCAGCTTTCCCACTTGGGTAGTCTTTCATGACTGGAAGCGCTTCCATTTTTAGAGAAATGATTTATTAATACCTGAGATCTATGAAGCAAGAAGCCATTAGAACCCCGGTTAAGGGGAGATACCAAGTCCAGAGAACTTGGGCAAGGTCAGGCAGCCAGGAGGTGGTAGAGCCCTGTTTTAATTTTAAGCACAAGTCTTCTGGTGTCTGTCTAGTCTTAGGCTCTTTTCATTAAAACACATTGGTTTCCAACAGTACAGTTGCTAACAGCCCTGATTATTGCACAGGTAATCTGGCAGCATTTGCAGGAGTGGCCGGGCAGGGGGACAAGCAGAGAGATTCCATGCGGGCGCTAGGACCAGGCTGATGGGGCCTCCCAGGCAGCTGCAGTGTGGCTGCAGTTCCCTTTGGTGCCCTGAGCGCTGGGCTCTTCCAGGAGAGCTGTCCACACCGCAGCCCTCATTTTCCTTTCTTTCCCTTGTCCGCCTTTCCCAGTTGCTTTCCTTTTCTCTCCTGACGCTCAAGTAAATGAGAAAAAGGTGACAAAGCAGAGAAAACAGGGAAACTTTCTCTTACTGATTTTGCTGTTTTGAGAAAAGGAAGCTGTTTCCTTCTTTTTTCCCCTGGCACCTCTTTATGTTTCCTGTTGTCCCTCCTCTCTTCCTCCCACACTTTCTTCATCGGCTGGGCTTTACTGGCACATGTTCTCCTCCCAGAGTGCAGTCCCCTAGTGGGTACAGCAGGGTAGAAGCTCATGGCCCACTGGCTGCCTCCGTGTCCGTCTTCCTTCTCCCTGGCCCCTCCTGTGCTCAGGAGTGCCTCAGGCTCCCCCCACCGATGCCTGCCTTCAGGAGGTTTTGGTCAGGCAGATCCCAGTTCTGCCATCCACTGCTCAGTATCCTGTAGCTCTCTCCAGCTTTGGTTTGTCTAACAATAACAAGTGCTACTTTAAGTGCTTTATGTAATCATATAACCCTCAAAGAGGCTACAAGGTTAGTGCTACAACCCACAGATTACAGATCAATTAACTAAGGGACAGAACATAGTCACACAGATAGTGTCAGGGCTGGGATTTGAACCCTAGTAGTCTGGCTTCCGAGTCTGCAGTTTTAGTCATGCTCAGCAATGAAAATGGTTTTGGTTAGTGGGTCATTTCACCAGTTTTGGGCCACACCCAGAGAAAATGCTTCCACTCCCAGTGACTGGAGATGCTGCCTCCTGCCTGACCCCCACACTTCCTGCCTTCTCCCACCAGATGCCGGTACAGCTAACGACAGCCCTGCGCGTGGTGGGCACCAGCCTGTTTGCCCTGGTAGTGCTGGGTGGCATCCTGGCAGCTTACGTGACAGGCTACCAGTTCATTCACACAGAAAAGCACTACCTGTCCTTCGGCCTATACGGCGCCATCCTGGGCCTGCACCTGCTCACCCAGAGCCTGTTTGCCTTCCTGGAGCACCGCCACATGAGGCAGGCAGGCCGGACACTGAAGCTGCCCTCCCCGCCACGGCGCACGGTGGCGCTCTGCATCGCTGCGTACCAGGAGGACCCTGACTACTTGCGCAAGTGTCTGCGCTCAGTCCAGCGCATTGCCTTCCCCAACCTCAAGGTGGTCATGGTGGTGGATGGCAATCGCCAGGAGGATGCCTACATGCTGGACATCTTCCATGAGGTGCTAGGTGGCACTGAGCAAGCCGGCTTCTTTGTGTGGCGCAGCAACTTCCATGAGGCGGGAGAGGGTGAGACAGAGGCCAGCCTGCAGGAGGGCATGGACCGTGTGCGGGACGTTGTGCGGGCCAGCACCTTCTCATGCATCATGCAGAAGTGGGGAGGCAAGCGAGAGGTCATGTACACGGCCTTTAAGGCCCTTGGCAATTCGGTGGACTACATTCAGGTAAGGGTGGCTCCCTGTGAGTGTGCGGCTGTGTGGCTTTGTCTGGCTAGCCGGGCACACCCTCCCCCAGAGTGTCTGTCCAGTCTGGATCCGTCGTGTGGTGCACGGCCCTCCTCTGCACTTAAGCTGACGATAGGCATAATGGTTCTGAACAGCCGTCCTGGGGTCAAAAAGGCCTGGGATGGAATCCTGATTTTGCTGTTACCTAACTCTGGGACTTGTGTCCTAATAATAATAATAATAATAATAGCAAACAGATGTATAGCACTTCCTTCATACCAGGCACTGTTCCGGGCTCTTCATACATATTAACTCTCTTAATCTTCGTAATACTCCTAAGGGAGAAGTACTGTTTTTTTGTTTTTTTTTTTAGATTTTGGGTTTTTATTTATTTTCAGAGGGAGGGGAAGGGAAGGATAAAGAGGGAAAGAAGCGTCTATTGTTTGCCTCTCCCATGCTCCCAAGTGGGGACATGGCAGGCAACCCAGGCACATGCCTGACTGGGAATCAAACTGTCAGCCTTTAGGTTCACAGGCTGGTGCTCAGTCCACTGAACCACACCAGTCAGGGCCAGGGATAAGTACTATTATTACTGTATTTTTCTGACTGTAAGACACACTTTCCTCCCCCCAAATTTGAGAGGAATAATGGTTGTTAATGCTGCTGTTCGGTTCTGTTTACATTTACATTGGTGAAATATTATGGTCTTTATGCTATTAAATATTTTACCACATTTTTTTGCTTCAAAAAATTTTTCCCTATTTTCCTCCTCTAAAACCTAGGTGCATCTTATGGTCCAAAAAATACAGTATCTCCACTCATAGAAGGCAATCCTGAAACACAGAGAGGCCAAGTGACTTGCCTGAAGTCACTCAGCAGTAAGGTACAGACAGAGCCAGAATTTGAGCCCAGGCATCAGCCCTTACTGTGCAATGCTGCCTCACCACTGGTGATGTGGGGATGAGCCTCTCCAGCACAAAGAAGTGTGGTGAAGAGTGGAAGTCATCACACAGGAAAGCACTTGAATACTGTTTTAGTTATGGACCAAAAGCCCTACTCTTCCCAGTGTCAAATTCACATCTGTAAGGTGGAGGGACACAGGTGCCACTCATCCTACAGTTAGATTCTGTCGCAGTCTTGGCAGGGCCAAAAACCTGAACAGCTTCTAGTCAAAGGGCTTGTTGACACCAGCCTGAAAACTTTATTAGATTGTCAAAGTTAAGTATTTCCGGCTTTCAAATAACAAAACCTAGAGAGAGCTGATTAGAGCTTCATGCATTTCAGTTACAAGAAACTGATCCCCAGGCCCCGAGATTTCGGGTCCAGCATCCACGCTGTCCATTCCTCTCTTTCTACACTTCTCTGTACTTGCCAGAGGGCTTTGCCCATCGCTTGAGTGAGTCGTGGCTGTTGTGGCAGCCTGCCTGTGTTGTGCTGTAACTCAGTCCTGCTGACAGCATGTTAAGTACTCCAATATTTAGATGTTCCATACCTCACTCACCTAAAATTAGCTTGCCAAAGACTTTTTGTTTGGGTTTATTTTTTTCTTTGGAAAGTTGCATCTTTGCATGAGATATGGTACATCTACCTTTTCCTGGTTCCTAGGCCCAAGGACCTCCTCAGCCTTGTAGGGAGGCATGTGAGACAGTTCTTGATTCTGCAGTTCACCTAGGGTCAAAGGGCTCTTGAACCTTTCCTGAGGACTCAGTAGGCCTAGCAAAAGCCCTTGAGCCCTGGCACAGGCTCAAGCCACAGTGACTTTGTCATCCACTCTCTTGAAGCACAGGATCCCCCGGAGCCTGCTCCGCTCATCTTTTCCTACGTGTTCTGGTGGATTAGCAACCAGGCTCACACTCCTGAGCCAGCCTTTCCCCTTAGTGCCCTGGTGGTGTTCAGCTTAGTCCTCCAACAGCCATGCTGAGGATGTATCTTTCCCTCTTTGTGGCGATTACCTTGCCCCAGACGGTGGGGAACAGCAGGCAGCCTGGAGCTCTAACTTCCCTAACCCTGCCCACTAGAAAGACCTTTCTGGAATGAAGGAAGCTGAGAAGCAAGAATGGGTAGGGTCAGAGCAGGAACTAGCCACAAGACCAGCAGCACTGGGAAGCTTGGTTTGTAAGCTGAGGAGGCTCTGAGTCTGGCCAGGAAGTCTGGACCTTCCCAGCCAGGCCAGAAAGTAAGAGGTGGGAGAGCAGGTGCGGCGCTCTGCCTGGTTCCCCCTCAGGATAAGCTTCTGTGGCTTATCTCTGGCCACTGTGTCTTCCAACAGGGAGACAGAAAGCTGGGTAGGTTGAAGCATGAGGGGCTGCCCCCTTCCCACAGGCTAATGGCTTTCACTCTGCACCTTCGTAAAAGGATTTGGGGCTTTGCAGAACAGGGTTTGGGTTCATCTGTGGACACTTTGCTCCCTCAGAGGTCAGGAAACCAATCTGCCTGCCCAATAGCTATCTGAGCTCTTTGTACCATCTCAGCAATTTTCTAGAAAACAGACAAGGACTCTGCAGCAGGGTGTGTTCATAGCCCAGATACAACTAATAACGGGTCTGCGTGTTGGAATCAGACCATGAGCCTCCTAGGAAAGGAGGGCAGGTGGGCAAGATTCGATCCAGATTTTAGAGGCAGTTGTTGCCAGAGTGCAATCCAGGCAAGAGTGGTCCCAAGCCATTCTGTGCCCTGATCTGAGACTTGGCCAAAGTGACTGGGTTGTGGGTCATCCAAGAGGCCAGAACCTGAAACAGGGAAGACCCTGTTGTTAAAATCCTATGGGACAGTTTTAGGCAGTAGCCTCTGCAAGAGCTTGGCCTTCTGAGGAGTGCCTGATGGCCCTGTGTCTATAATCTGATTTCAATGACTTGAGCCTTGTTTCTTCCCAAGGACCCAGAGAAACATTTTAAGATCATTTCTCAGGGGCGTGGCTTCACAGGGGCTAAACTTGCCCAGCACTAAACCTTTCTCTCCTTGCAGGTCCAGGGCTGACAGAGCCCAGGCTTCTCTCTCAGCCTACTTTCCTTTGTTTCTCCGCTCACCCCCTCCATTTGGCAGAGATCTCTTAGCTAGTGGCTGGAAATAAGTCATATGAATGGAGGTTATGTTCCTCAGGCCATGTGACCTGAGGCCAAAATGACCTGAGAACCCTGGCTGGTGTGGCTCACCTGGTTGGAGCATTTGTCCTACAAACTGAAAGGTCACTGGTTCAATTCCCTGTCAAGGCACATGCCTAGGATGCAGGTTGGATCCCTAGTTGAGGCGTGTGCGAGACGCAACCTGATCAGTGTTTCTCACATCGATGCTCTCTCCCTCCCTTCCCCTCTCTCTAAAATTAATGGGCATGTCCTTGGGCGAAGATAAGAAAATTTTTTTAATGGGCTGACGGTGCATTTCCTCTGCAGGTATGCGACTCCGACACTGTACTGGACCCAGCCTGCACCATTGAGATGCTTCGAGTCCTAGAGGAGGACCCCCAAGTAGGGGGAGTCGGGGGAGATGTCCAAGTAAGAAGTAATGAAGGGTTCCTGGGGGAGGGGTCTGGACTCTTTCTTTCTAATCCAATTGGATAAAGCTGGGAAGTGGCACCTTGACTTCTTAGTATTTGGTGGGTGGGGGAGACATTCCTCTTTGACAGTTTCAATGGGCTCACTTGCTACTCAACCTATCCCTGCCCTTTTTCAACCTAAGGGGGTAAAATTACCAGGTATGTGGAGAGCCTGTGATGCTGGGGGGGGGGCACAGGGTGCTGAGGCCATTGATCCTGGAGGGGTGCCTCCTTTTTTGCTGATGGCCCAGCAAGCACCTCCCAAGTTAGGCCCCTGAGAAACCTTTGCTCTTAGGTAAGTTGCTCTGAGGTGCTCTGGACAGTGTGGTCAGAATAAAGAGCATTATCTTCTTCCAGAGGGTACTGCTGATAACATACCAGGTCTTCCCAAGAAGCTTTCCAATGGAAGGGTCAGGACAGGTGGCTGGGTGTTGCTCTGCCTCTTCGTCAAGGCCTTCTGTCTGTCACTGCCATAGGCTGCCTCCTGAGACTGAAGGTGGCTTTGACTGCTAGAGTAATTTCACTGCGACAGCCTGTGCAGACGGCGCAGTGGAGAGTTGGGGCTGGTGCTCAGGAAAGTGGGTGTGGTTGGCTCCCCCGAACCTCAGGTTTGCCAGCCCTGGATGGGCTAGAGCTCACGGCTGGAATTTGAGCAATAGGCTACAGAACTCAGGGTAGGGAGGCCTCATGGTCTCCAGTGTCTGTCTCCTGGGGCTCACGGTCTCAGGTGAGGAAGCCCAGCATCTACGGTTCCCTTACAGATCCTCAACAAGTACGATTCATGGATCTCCTTCCTGAGCAGTGTGCGGTACTGGATGGCCTTCAACGTGGAGCGGGCCTGCCAGTCCTACTTTGGCTGTGTGCAGTGTATTAGTGGGCCATTGGGCATGTACCGCAACAGCCTCCTCCAGCAGTTCCTGGAAGATTGGTACCATCAGAAGTTCCTAGGCAGCAGGTGCAGCTTTGGGGATGACCGGCACCTTACCAACCGTGTCCTGAGCCTTGGCTACAGGACTAAATACACAGCACGCTCCAAGTGCCTCACAGAAACCCCCACGAAGTACCTCCGGTGGCTCAACCAGCAGACTCGCTGGAGCAAGTCTTACTTCCGGGAGTGGCTCTACAACTCTCTGTGGTTCCATAAGCACCACCTCTGGATGACCTATGAATCTGTGGTCACGGGTTTCTTCCCCTTCTTCCTCATTGCCACAGTCATACAGCTTTTCTACCGTGGCCGCATCTGGAACATTCTCCTCTTCCTGCTGACAGTGCAGCTGGTGGGCATCATCAAGGCTACCTATGCCTGCTTCCTCCGGGGCAACGCAGAGATGATCTTCATGTCCCTCTACTCCCTTCTCTATATGTCCAGTCTCCTGCCAGCCAAGATCTTTGCCATTGCTACCATCAATAAGTCTGGCTGGGGCACCTCTGGCCGAAAAACCATCGTGGTGAACTTCATTGGCCTCATCCCCGTGTCCATCTGGGTGGCAGTCCTTCTGGGAGGACTGGCATATACAGCTTACTGCCAGGATCTGTTCAGTGAGACGGAGCTGGCCTTCCTCGTCTCTGGGGCCATCCTGTACGGCTGCTACTGGGTGGCCCTCCTCATGTTGTATCTGGCCATCATCGCCCGGCGATGTGGGAAGAAGCCAGAGCAGTATAGCTTAGCTTTTGCTGAGGTGTGATGTAGCCCTCAAGCAGAGCGGGAAAAAGTGCAATGGGTAAGGGAGGGAAGGGGAACAGAAGAGAAAAGATGGGATGGGAGGGAGGAGGGAATGCTGTTTTAGTTTCTTAATGGTCCAAAGGACAAATCTGAAGTGCAAAGAAAGGTGATTAGTAGTATGGCCGGGGGCAGTTCTGCTTAGAGAAGGCAACACTGATCCCAGCTCAGGGGGGTGGAGAGAAGACTTACTTGTTTCTAGGCTGTCTGCTCCATGGTGGTCCGGGAAAGATTCTACTCCCTGCCCCAGGGGCCAGAGGGAACTCACAAGTGTGCTAACTCAAAGTAAGTTCTACTCAATGGCAACTTCTGATAGGCAAATGAGCAATGCCAGCTTGTGGGAAGAGGTTCTCTTAGCCCATCTGAACACAGCCAGAGGTGGTGGGAGAATTTGAGGTCTGGGCCAGCTAGTAAATAGCTCCCCCCTCAACCTAGTTATCAATGCAATAAGATTGTGCCTGAGATACAAGACCCAGAAGCTGGATCTCTGGGCATCAGAAAACAGGGTACAGGAATGGTGCTTTATTATGTGATATACCCCATTCCACATCTCCACATCCCAAGGATGAGCCAAACTGACAGGGATTTAGCACTGAACTGCTTTCAGGTGCACACAGATACGAATGTTAAAAAGGAAAGTTTGCTGGGAGGAACGACAATTGGCAGGGGCGCTAAAGACCATGGGCTATATGGAGGCCTGTATGTGTTCTACCTGGAAACTGCCCAGTCATCTAGATTGGCTTGTCTGTGAACTCTACTGGGGAGATAAAACATTTTGGTCATCTACTGGGAAGACTGAACCCCAACATACTAAAAAATGAAGTGAAGACTCGGTATTTCAACCTGTCTGCTTCCTGAATTCCTCTCAAATTCAGCTGAGCCCCAAGACGGCCTCCTCACTTTGCTTTCAATGAGCTGTCGTCCTCTTCACCCTCTTCCTCATTGGTTTTTCAAGATGGCTAGTGTGGCAGAGCCTGAACTCTCACAGGCCCCTCTGTAACAGGCAAGCCTGCCCTCAGCACATGGGGGAAAACCTATGAGAAGCCTCTGACCAAACTGGCTACCACCTTGGAACTGCTTGGGACAGATTCCTTGGCAGCTGGGTAGCATGTGTGACTTTCAGGTTACAATTCTTGACAATCGTCTCTAATGGTAAGCTTTTCAGTGTTCCCTAAGTGGACCCTCAAGTCCAAGCTGGTCATCTTTGAGACTGTCCATTCTCCTCAGTGGCTTCTCCAGGGAATTCTTACAGCCAAGCAGTGGATAGTCCCTATTGCAATCGCTTCTTTCCAGAAACCAAACTAGGAGACGGAATTGATTCCTAAGGTTCTTGCTTTCTCAGGCCACTCAAGGCTGTTTTACTTCTTCCTGCTTTCATAGGGGAATAAGGGAAAGCCTTTTTCTAGAGACTGGCAATCCACAGACTATTTTCAGCTCCTGGGTTTGAAACCTGGGATCTTGACTAAGCCTCTGAACGAGGGATTGCTTGCTTGTGTGTGCTCTCTCCAAATGGTCCACTCTCACGGGGTCCAGCTAACCCCAAAGGAACAGCACTAAGGGAGAGAGGAGTTGAGGGGACAAGCATCTAGTGTGCCCAGGTACTTCCTACAAAGGAGCAGTGTGCTGAGCCACAGACTGGCAAACCCTGGTGCTTTCCTGCATCTCCCATGAACTCAAAAGGTTTTCCAAGTGCAGCCAACACTGCTGCATCACACAGACCTCAAGTTTCTGATAAGACTGCTGGTTGCTGTTGGACCCGATCCATGGAGACTAGAAGAGGCAGCAGGCACTTGCTAAAGGCAGTTGTTCTAAGCTCTTCCATGATTTTTGCTGGCCAAGAAGTAAACTATTTTGAGCACTACAATGGAGGAAATTCGGGTCATCCAACTGCAGAGCTCAGACTTGACGAAGGGCTTCTTTTTCTTCAGGCTTTACTTGAAGGTTAATGCAGGATGGACCCCCAGGATGGGAAACTCTGGGCTGTCCTACCAGCAGCTCTGCCTTGCACTGCGGTTATCAACTTTCCTCACATCAAAAGTAGGCGAGTACAAGTAGTGGGCTCACAACATTTGACCTCGACTGGTTTTTCTAAGTTATTTTGTATATTTTTCAGCAGTGAAACCAAACTGGGTCTTCAGCTTTATCCCCATTTCTAGCAAGGGAAGAGCCTTTATATGATCGGGACACATTTTGGTTTTTCCTCATTGAGAATTTTAACTGTCCTTTTTTGTATTATTTCTACAATAATTTGTAAACATATTTATTTTTACCTGCCTTGTTTTTAACTTTTCATGTCAAATTTTTTATACACATTTGTCAAAATAAAGATTCTCACATAATGCTATTTATCTCTGAGCTACTTCCTCCCTTTTTGTACTTAATGAAAGCTAGCTCTTTATTCCAGTTTTAAAAGCAGCACTTGAGCTAGAAATGTAGTTGAAATAACCAAAGTGTTACTCAGAAACAGGGTAAGGTGTCAGTTGCCTGCACCAGGGACAGGCCCACCTTGGTAACTACACCTGTGATGGCTTAGCTTTTATTGTATGGGGTGGGCAGGGTCTTTGGTGAAATTATTGGCAGATGAGTGAGCCAAAGCTAAAAATCAAGCGTGCCTCTTCCTTAAGTGAAGGCATTTTATCTGGCAGATAATGGATTGTGGCCAAGCTGAAAACCATAACCAGCGGGTAAACTTCCTTCCCTGTGGACCAGGTTAACAAAATGGAGTGACATCGGCAGCCCTCTCATCCCGTTTATTAAAGAAACAGTTAGAAAAGATACAATGCAGGAAAAACAACCATCCTTTCACATCAGGTTGAACAAAGCACAGTGATTTCTCCCCTTCACCCCCAGCCCCCCACCCCATGTCCCATCCGCATCAGCTTAAATTCTGAGGTTCTGTGATCGGGAGTACCAGTGGAGGGAGTTGTATGAGCAGTGGAGCCTTGATTCTGGCCTCCTCTGAGTCCCAGAGAAGGCAGCTGCAGGACTGACTAGTCGTCAAGTAAAAATTGTATTTGGTGGGTCTGTAAAGTGGTTGCCCACCTCCCTATTCTGTGTTCAAGCCCCCAGGGAAAAGTACGGCAGTAGAGGATGGCCAGGTCCGAACTGCCGAAGCACGGTTTGTTCACCAGTGCCGCATTTCTAGAGAGCAGTGAGCTGATTCTCCAGTGGTGAGCAGGGGGCTGCATATGAATTGGGACCTGCAGGCCAATGTATCCCTGAGGAAAGTCCACAAGAACAATTCAAGGAACTAGTAAGAAACAAGGGGCAGAAAGCTGTGGGACAAAAGCACAGCAGGCTTCTGGAAGGCTAGGGATCCTTTCTCTCGAGGCTAGGATCACTCCACCTGCTGCAGTCCATGTCCCACAAATAACATTTCACCTTCAATCAAGAAAGAAGCAGAATTTGAAAAAGATGGCTCATTTGAACTTGAGCCCCAGCTATGTACTTCAGACTGTAGCTCCATGTCTACCCTTTTGCCTAAAACACGGCCTCTGCCCAGAACCACAATGCCTAGAAACCAAGGTGGTCCTGGAGAGAAAATGCTATTTAAGGGGGTAACATTCCATTTGGGTACATTGCAGCCATTGGACCTCCTGGTCTGGAGAAAGCAGCTGGGTTTGTACCAGGGAGACTACCCACTCTAGGAAACGGGACCAAAGTCTTGGCTACAGGGCCATTCATCCTTGGAAAGGAAGTTGGGTTTAGACCCAGAGTCCCTGTTGCCCTTGCAAAAGGAGCTGGGTTGATACCCACGGGGCCTGCTGAAGAACCCAGAGGCCCAGGAGCTGACCTGGGGAAAGTAACCTGACCAGAGCCAAGTGGGCCAGTAGACCTTGGGAACGTAGTTGGACTTGGACCTTGTAAGCCAGTGGCTCTTGGGAAGTTAGCTGGGTTGGGTCCTAAAGGCCCAGCGGCTCTTGGGAAAATTGCTGGATTTGAGCTCTGGAGACCAGCAGACCTCTGGAAGGTAGTTGGGTTTGAAGCCATTGTGCCAGAAGACTGAGAGAAGGCAGCTGGGTTCAGTGCCCCTGAACCTGTCCCCCTTGGAAAGGGATTAGAATTTACTCCCATGGGGCCAGCTGACCTGGAAAAATGAGCTGAATTAGGGCCTATGGGGCCAGGAGCCCTAGACAAGGGAGATGGATTTGGCCCTGGAAGGCCAATTCCCCGAGAGCCAGGACCAGAGTTTGGGCCCATGGGACCAGGTATTCTTGCCATGGAAGGTGGGCTTGTGCCTAAGTTTCCAGAAGCCTGTGAAAAAGACGATGAATTTGCTCCTAAAAGACCTGCTGCTCTTAGAATGGGGGCAAGATCTAGGCCTTGAGGGCCAGCCATTCTTAAGTTAAGACCAGACCCCGTGCCCAAGAGACCACCTGATCTGGTATCCAGATTAGGGCCTGGGCCCAGGCCACCCGCCCTTGGGTTAGGCCCAAGGCCTGGGCCCAGGTCACTTACTCTTGGGTTGGGCCCAAGGCCTGGGCCCAGGTCACTTGCTCTTGGGTTGGGCCCAAGGCCTGGGCCCAGGTCACTTACTCTTGGGTTGAGCCCAAGACCTGGGCCCAGGTCACTTGCTCTTGGGTTGAGCCCAAGACCTGGGCCCAGGTCACTTGCTCTTGGGTTGGGCCCAAGGCCTGGGCCTAGGTCACTTGTTCTTGGGTTGGGCCCAAGGCTGGGGCCTGGAAACATACTGGACCTTGGGGCAGGGTTTGTGCCCATGAAGCCCGATCTCAGACTGGGACTTGGTTCAGGGCCTAGGCCAACAGGCCTATTATTGGGAGGACCATTTCCAGAAGTCAAGAGGACACCCGTTCTCAGGTTGGGTGCAGGTCCAGGGCCCATGGGGCCACCACTTCTGGAGTTAGGACCTGTTCCTAGGAGACCACCAGCCCTCGAGTTGGGCACAGGACCTGGCCCTGGGAGACCCCCTAACCTTGGGTTAGACAGAGGCCCTGGGCCTGGAAGAGCCCCTGCTCTAGGGTTTACAGCTGGGCCTGGACCTGGGCCCAAGAGGCCACCCGGCCTTGGGAAAGAAACTGCACTTGTGCTAGTGGGATTCATTCCCCTTGGGAAAGAAGCCATGCCTGGGTCACGAGCACCAGCAGGGAAAGGTGCTGGATTTGAAGCCAATGAACCTGATGAAGCTGGAAAAGGAGAAGGGTTCCTTGGAAATGGAGCCAGATTTCTACCAAGAGAACCAGGTGTCATAAGGAGGGAATCCGAGATCATGCCCAGTGGGTGGCCTGTGTTTAGAACAGGACCCCCCTGTGGTCCCAGGGAACTGTCAAGCCGTCCTCGAGGTGGCAGTGGAGCACGAGTCCAAGGAGTTGGCCGCTCTCTAGGGAAAATCCGGGGTTCTTTCATACTTTCTTGGGAACGTTGGTGATAATGGGCTTCGGGCGAGTTTTGAAAAGAATCTTGTTTTTGATGAGTGCTGTCACCAAGTACCGGGTACCAGTCTTGCAGGCACGCTCATCACAGTCCTGCTCCCCAGAAATGTGTTTGATAAGGACTGCAAAAGGTTTTTCCAGGTGGATGATTTTCCCATACAGGATGTGATGCCCCACGATCAGCACAGGGATTCCCTTTGGCAGAACAAGAACGAGATGCCTGAGGTTCAGGGCAAGATCATAATGCTCAGGTGCTTCCTAGAGATGCTCTTAGCAGGCAACATTGCCACCTGCTGCCCTCCCTGGTCTGGCTCTTCCATTGCTGAGTAACCACAGTGGAAAACCCACCCTGTGCCCTTTTTTGCCCAGGTAAGAGAATTTTCATTTTTAAAACTGTGACCTTTCGAGCTAAACTGCCCTGCTACTACAGAGGTGGGAGGGACAATAAGCAGACAGCTTAGCAGATTAGCTAGACCTTGAATAACAAACCTGAGGGCAGTCCTCACTCTGGGTCCTGGGAGCACCACCTTGGTGTAGCTTGCTTTCCTGAGGCATTAGGCAGGGAAAGAAAAGCCCCCTCACCTCAGTGGTGTAATGTAGGTCTCCCAGGAGGTTTCCAGCTAATCCAGTGCTGTAGCGAGCCTCGATCTCCCCCTGTAGCTCCATCAGCACCCATTCTGCCAGGCCTCCAGCCCCAGCACTGCAAGCAAAGGGCTGGCGGTTACAATATTTTTGTGGGGTGAAGGATGACTAGTGTCCTACACCACCGTTCAAGGCCCAAAGGAACTTTGTGTTGAGCACAAGTTTTCGGGAAACTGGGCAGTGTTCCACACTGAACTAGAGATTGAAATGCAAGGATCTGTATGAAAGATACCTCAGGACCCTGATTCCTCCAGTAAATAGAACATCTATATAGCTCTAAACATTCAAGCTGAATAATAATAATAATAATAATAATAATAATAATAATAATAATAATAAAAAGCCTTAAAATGTACTCACCTGGAAACAATAATTTGTACCATGAGCCTTCCGTCTTTAAAAAAGCAACTGAAAATAAGCTGTAGAGGGGAAAAAGAGGTTTAGGATAGTAACAATAGCTTGTATTTGTATGTGTACTAGATACTTAGTGCTTCATATACATTTCATTTCATTCCTCTAATAATTCTATAAGGTGTAAACTTTAAAAAAGCTGATATACATATAAGGTTGTTTAACATCACCAGAGGTAACAATGTAAAGTTAATCAGATATCACAATTGGGTTCAAAACCACATGCCTACTAGTCAAAAAAACAGAATTTGAACCCAACCTATACACTGCACAGCCCACATTCTTGACTACTATACTAATAATCTGCCTTCCTCAAGGATATTAAGAACTAGTTCTTTCAGATTTTACTTTTTTCTTTGGTCATGCTATAAACTTTGTGCCTACTTTGCTTATCTGGTATTTCAAGGTTCAAAGATCTCCTTTAACTAAAAGCCTTGAGAAGTGAAAAGGCCCTCAGTCAACTTTAGTGAAAGGTAAGCTGATTTCTGATGTGACTCTCATCAAATGCTGACCATCTTCCACTTAAGACACTAAAAAGTGTACCATGACACTTCTAAGACTCTCATTTTATACAACAGCACCACCTGGTGGCAAGATTGTAGTACTATACAAGAATGGGTTTATACAGAACACTTGCTGGAAACTGGTTTCACTTGTACTTCTCTTTCTGGGAAGGGCAGATTTAGCAGGGATATAAACTACTTCTGTGTATGTCTTTCCAATGGATAGAATGTTACTGGAAGGTTATTAGTCCAGTGTTTACCAAATGCACTACAGCAAGTTAGTAGGTATAACTGTGCTCAAGTTTAGCCAATAAATTAAAATAGGTTTCTTTACTGATCTGTTAATCATTTTGGATCTCCAGGGAAGAGTGCACTACCATCAAACAAACTTAAAGGACAAGAGTCTTCTCTTGAGCACCAAACATACTTTGGGAACATGAGGTTGGTCAAATCACTGGTCTTTAAATATAAACGGCAGCTAATATTTAGCTAATTTTTATACAAATCAGATGCTGTGCACATATATAGGTGGTATCTCTTATTACTGTGACCACTCTGGAATAGGTACTTATCCCTATTTTGCAGATAACGCTATTGAGATACATTTGCTTGTATGTGGTGCACACACACACAGCCAGTGTATGGTAGAGCCAGCTTAAGAACCTAGGCCATCTGATTTTTATCTACACTGGTTATGACTACCCAATTCTGTCCTAAGGAGAAAACCAAGTGCCGGTGATAATTAAAAGGCATCAGGCAGGTACAGCATACACTTAAGAGCTGGTCAGAAGGGCAACAGGGAATCAAGAAGCCATCCTCAAGCCACACCTGCAGAAGCAGTGCCAGTTGTGGGACCACTTAAGAACAGGTAATGCACTACTAGCTCAGGAGGGCACTGGTCTTTTGACAAAGGAGGACCTCATCGAAAGAACCACCACTTCCAATGATTTCTTGGAGAAAAAGAGTAATGATTTAGAATAAAACCCCAAAGGTTTGACTGGATTCAGAACAATCTGGGTGGGATACACATTGTCATTTGGTTTCTAACTCTGTTTTGAAGTTAATTACTATTAAAATTATTAACTTAAAAACCTCAAAAATCAAAGTGCCACCACAATTTCTAAGAAGGTCCAGGCAGAGCATTATCTTTATAATACAAAAAGATTCATTTCTCACTCGTCTGAACTTAATCTGGAATCTTTCAGTTCTGAAATGAAAACAATTCTATGATGTAGGCACTGTCTCACCTCCCATTTTACAGATGAAGAAAACAGGCTTAAAGAAGCTAAAGGTCAAGTAACAACTCATAAAGTGGGAGAGCTGGGATGTGAACTAAGTCCATAACATGGTCTCTCTGGCCCCCTCTCCTACTACAACTATATTGTCGAAATTTAAAAATTCTACTTTAGGGCCTTAAAATATCCTATCGCCTGAATCGTGTATTTTTTTCTTGCAACAGTTGCCCTTTGGCAAAGTAGATAGGCATCCAGTATGCCTGTAGGAGAACTCTGACTGCTTTACAACACTAGCCTTTCCCACAGCATCTTTTACAAAATGCCAAGTAAGTAACCTATGCAGGTCTTGTCACCAAATAACTTGCCACCAGAGCAGCTATTACATCTGTGGGATGGGCAATTAAAAAAGAACTATAAACCTATTTATATTATCATTTCTAATTGTTTATAGAGGGCATTCTTTGATACTGATTCCTTTTCATCTCCAACAAAATTTATCTTTCAGTTTGTGAATTAAAAGATTAACAATGTCTTACAGAGAAGTCTTATAGTAAACAATTATTTTCATAATGGTAACTGCCCCCAAGATAATGTATGGCAGAATAAAGAACACAAAGCTTTTACTGAAAGGAGCCTTGACTCCATGGTTAACTTAACCACAAATAATTTTTTTCTAGAGCTAAATAATGTTTTATAAATTGTTTTCATTAGGATTTTTAAAATTCTTGTTATTTTAAGCTTTTTAAAGTAAGGGAATAAAGGCTTTAACATCTGCTAGGCCAACAGGTAACATTTACTGGTCTCTTATTTGGGCCCAGGGACTATTCCTGTGTTTAGGGATACTGGGAAGAAAGCCACTAGATCTAGATTCTATGATTATGCCACATATCCTATGTATGACAGGGGTAATTTAACCTTGTTTCAGTTCCCTGCTAATAAACCAGGCATAAAAAAGAACCACTTCAAGGAGTTGTATTAAATGAGGTTATGAATGTATTCAGCACAGTATCTAGCACATGATAAAGCCTTCAGGATCAAGCTATTGATTACCTGGAGGAACATGGCTTTTTCTTAGTATAGAATGTCTTTATATTGCACTATTATTATAATGTTTATAGTGGAGTAAAACATCCTATAGAAGCAGTGGGTTATCAGAATAAACCAAAATTCACACAATGGGAGAACAATTCAAACATGGCAGTCAGGATTCACTAAACTGCTTCAGTTCTTGAGGTTGTTTTCCTCTAAATTATGACTATTTTTCTGTGTGCCTTTCCACCAAATGAACAATTCAGGAAGTTTGATATATAAATGAATACAATTTTTTTTATTAGCAGTGTTACTGTGGTTTTGTGACTGAAGGGGATGGTCTAAAAGGAATATGGTCTGTGGACAGCTATCAAGTGATGAAATCCTGTTTCTGAATGAGAACCTTGCCTCCCTCCAAAAGGGGGCTATGGAGGGTAGGTGGAACTGAATGCTTCCAAACTTTTCTTAGTGAAGAGTGTGTTCAGAAACGTGTGTGGATACTATGCATACACGTGGTACTTTCCCATCACATTTTAGGATTCCCATGATGGAGGGAATCAATTACTGGTATTTGCAGACAATGAGTGGAAAAAATGGCTTCAGTCGATCTGAGTTACTCCAGTTTTCTCCATCTTCCGCCACTCTGCAACCCCATCTCCACCCTTCCTCCTCTTACTGCTACAGCACCCGGTGTTCCCCAAAGCCCCTTCCTTCTAACCCTGCTTGAGATCTCCCTCAATCGTGGACTCTCCTCCCACCAGCCCCCATTTCCTCCACCCTCTCTCTCCCTTTCCCATTCCTTCCCTTCAGTTTGGGCCACAAACACTTCCTACTCGTAGTCCCGCCCACTTTCTGGGAGTTCTCAATCCGCTTCCCCAGGCTTCACCAACCTCCACCAAATTACCCGGACTTTCTCTGGGACCTATTGCCAAGGTGTTTAATCCTTTCTCCTACTTCCCTGAGAAACGATTCTTTACACTACCTTACTCCACACCTCCTAGAGTGATGTTCCAAACCATTCACCCTCCTCCAAAGGTTAAACTTTCTTCTACCACCCTCATTCTCCAAAATCGTTTGTACCCCTCTAATTATGATATACTTCGTTCTTTTTTTGGAAGGACCCCGCCCGACTCTTCGCTTATCTCTCACTCCGC